AATTGGTAAAGGGTAAATAATCTGATCTATATTGAATTTAAACGCATTACAAAAAAGGGTATATGTCACAACTAAAAATAATAGGTGGTATATGATTTGAATTATTACTTTTAGTGAAACAAAATTTGCTCTTTTCATTACTCCTTTCATCTCACATTACTTCGAACACTTAGCACATATCAAGTATAAAGCTTGTTATATATGTGCAATTAATCTGACATAAACAAGAATAAAACTAATAATAGGATAATAGGGCAAAAGCTATCTATTATTCAATCTACGAAGTTACATATGAATATAGAAGAACACTTCAACTTTGTCACTTCACACCCAAAATAACCTAAGATAAACTTCTATAAATATATATATATTAATCATAGAAAAGAAAAAAGTACCTATCTTATATTCTAATTTAATAAGAATGTTAAAAATTAATAATTGCATGCCGACTTAGTACTTACTTGGTACAATAGCTCAAATGAACATGATTGATATGTATTTGGAGTATTTTTTTAATTAAGAGAGACAAATTATTAAGCTACAATCCATATTTTTACGCTTTTAAAATAGAATACTCTTGCATCGTTATACAAACGATCACTTTTTTGAATTGTTTGAGTTTTCTTAACATAATAAGTCACTTTCAAAATCATTATAAATTTCATATAACGTCCCTTAATAGTATATGTACCGTACCATTAACTTACAAGAACGAACATTATCAATAACATATGGCATGCATGGTAGGGTGTATCCTAAATTTTGTTTACTAACTACAAGTAAAACACATTGATTTTAGAGAATGTGTAACTAGTTAATTAATTGATCTCTTAGAAACATGTCATAGAACAATAGAGCCAAAAGATAAGAACTGAATCTTTCAGGAGGATGTTTCTTGTCTAAAATAACAGTATACATAATTATTTTTACAATTTTTACTATCTTTCCTAAATTGTCTTATTGTGGATTTGTTGACAAGTAGTAGGACATGAAATATTACAAATTTGAAGACTATAACTAAGGAAAATAGGAAATAACATAACATTTGCCTTATTTTTCTATTGTGAACTAACTAACAATATTGCCTACCAAAATTCCAACAGTGAGAAGTGTGAAACTTCTAGGAAATTTTGAAAAGTAGTAATTTTAGCTTTATCATTTCCTTTTGAAGTTTCCTTCTTATCGACATGACTTGCAAATAATTGTTGGGAGAACATGTTATTGTGGGGTTAGAGAGAGTGTAGCCTTCAATTTAAGGGAAATATTTGAATATGTACAAATTATCATGATTTATTTCGATATTGTTGAGGGTTTTGAGGCAATATATGTAGACAATAAATAATCAATTGGCCGAGTGATGACGTGGATGAGAATATGTTTCTTAAAAGAAAACAGAAAAAAAAAATTGTTTATGTCGACTAGTTTAGCTAGGCACGACGTGCTGTCCTGAACTAATAGACTTGAAATTAATTCTAATCATGTTGATCAGCAACGACTTATATTGAAAAAATCCAACGACCTATGATAAATTTTGTGTTACTAGGCACTATTATATGAAATGCATAATTAATTAAGGTTGTATTCTTTACTACAATTTAGCCAAGCTATGAAAAAAGATGAAAGGTGAAATGTTGTGTTAGATTTAAACATTTCCGGCAAAACAATGCTTCTTTTATTTTTGTTGAGTTGAGGTCAAAGGTGAAGTATTAATATATATTTTGACATATGACTTGTTGCAATTGTTGAACTTTTTTGGATTGCCTAATGCTCCAAGTCTCTAACACCACTCCTCTCTTTTTCATCACCCACCTTCCTGGATCACTATCCTACCTATCACTGCACCCTTCACAATTTGAAATAAATCAAATAAATAATTTTTTCCCATAAAAAGAATTGATGCCACATTTATATCGATCACCCATTTATTAACACGCTACGTAGATAATACAGAATAATAAATGAGGACGAAAATGATAGAGAAATAGTAGCAAGACAATATCTTGTAAATGACGATGATGGTGATTGATTGGAGGCAAAATAGACTTTGAATAACTAACACACACATTTAAGGTATTTTAATTTCTTGATATTTCCTCTTCTCGAAATACAAAACACAATTACCAATTTAATGTGAATAATGTCTGATATATTTAGGTCGTTTGATCAACACTACTTAAAACAATATTTGTATCGAGTTAGCTTAACAATGCAGGTAAGATAATCAACTTAACAAGTTTAAGCTCATGTCATAATAGTTGATACAATGCATGTAAGATAATCAACTTAACAAGTTTAAGCTCATGGATGAAGCTAAGTTCCGTCCTTGCATGCATGATTGATTTTTATATATACCCTATAAAAAAAATCCATATTCCGACTGATTTATGACACGTACATGAGGTGGTGAGCTAACTTGATCGATGTTGTTGAATATGACAAAGTGAGGGGAGATGATATGATGATGGCTCCTGTATAAAAAATTCTTGGGGTTGCATCATTAATATTCCTTAGCATACCTTAGATGTTAGATGCATCAATATAATGTAATTGTGAAAAATGCAGTGGAAACTATAGGAAGCAACAACCAACAGCAAGCAAAGGAAGGATTACATCGCCAGCAACTTTCACACACATTGATGGGGCCACCACAACTTAGCTTGTTGAGGTTCACGGGTTTCTCTATTTATAGATTCTCTCATGCACTCATCTTCTGTCCCTCTCTTTCTTTCTCTCTCTAAAATTGAACAAAAAGCCCACAATTTTTTTATTGGTTACTTTTATTTTCACCCTTTTAATTTTTTTGTCTTTCACATGTGCAATAAAAAAAAACAAAAAAAGATATTGTGTAGTTGTGTTACTTGTGTATGTACTCCCATGAGTCCTATTGTTGAGTGTAATCATCTTAGTAAGTGTTTCTAGTAAATGGTAACTATACGAAGTATATTGTGCGTAACATTCAATTATTAGGACATGTTTTGATTTACTGAATTGAGTTGAGCTGAACTGTATATTTTATAAGAGAAGGAAATTAAGAACATAACTGAATTTAATTGAACAAAAATGAATTGATTGGAGCTGAACTGAACTGAAAATAAGTTGAAGAGAACAGATTCTTAGTGCCAAAAAATATATATGAAAAAATTAGTGACATTGATAACATTTGTGAACCATGAGGTTGCAAACTAATGTTAATAGTCCTTAATACAATTTAGAAAGAAATTTCTTTAGTTGTTAATTGTATATTTACGAGTCTACATGTTGGCTCTTGTAAGAGTTGTAGCTAATTACTTGATGTATCCAAAGATTAACAATAGTAATAATACACGTACCTCTAATCAAATAGGTTTTCATCATATCATTAGCTAAACATAAGTTGATTAATAATAGAAAAGTAGTGTGGTATATTGTTGGCGCCCAAATAAGAAACTAAGCAAGTAAATGGTTAAACACAGTGCGAGTACAACATATAACTACGTAGTGAATAATATGCTTCTTCAATGTTACAGTTTACTACATACCTATCAAGGCTTTACAAGAACGAGAGTAATTGATAACCTAACAAATTAATGACCTTATATTAATTAATAAGCCTCAAAACAAGTCCTTTTTACACTATCAAAAAGAAAAGAACACACTATAGATAGTAAAATGATAAGATGTACGTATAATGTTTGATAAGTAGCAAACTCGACGTCAATTTAAAAGTCTGATGAGACCGCTACAAAATAGCTAGCTCTAGCTAGTTTACGTCTTCAAGGCTATTCATCCTAAACTGAAATCTACATTATGAAAAATATTCAGCAATTGTTACCAACATTCCAATGCAAGAAATCATTGGAATGAGAACTTCGTTATATGAATGTAAACAATTGCTCATAACATATAACACGTTACACTATAACAGAGTTAGTCTTAAAATAATATTGTCCTTACTTTTTGCGTACTTTTTCCCCTTTAAAGAAACAAATACGAAATATGTAACATGTTCATGAATTATACTACGTAATTCTTAAATCAAACTATACTAGAAAAGAATGAGGAAGCCAAGCACATGCATTAGACAAAGGCATCAATCAAAATTATGGAATACCTTGACATATGGTCGTTATACAACCAAAAGGGAGTCAAAAACATAGGCCACAATGTCTGCTTTAATAATTTGAAAGAGTTAATAACGAGATGACAATTTAGTCCGAATCTAAAAACCAAAATAATCATATCTGAATCCGAAATCAATAAAGGCCAAGTAGTAATAAATTTAAAAATGTGAACATGTCCAGCGTTTTCTAAGTTGCAAGGCCAGACCCAATATAAGCTACAGATCACGAGCTTAATAGGCCCATAAGATTGTCTTTTGAGGATTTAGTCAATTACAAGGCCCAATCCATTTTTGTTGGTTTTACTAGCCTGTTTAGACCAGTTTTTTTCACCTGCTAAAATTTCATTTTTATCCTTTTTCCAAATGGTTGTGAATTTGTGATATACTCCGTACTTCTGCGAAGTTGGAGTTTGGCTATAAATATCAGCAAATTCCACAAAAGTTTTAGGTATTCTTCCTTGATTTGGCTAGATATGATTTTAGAATACAGTCCGTACCTCACTGGCTCACTGCCTAAGCCTAATAGGCTACATACGGACATCGTTCTATAAATCATTTAAGACTGATATATATTGATCCCGTGCAACTTTCTAAAGTTGATTCATATCGCCAACATCTAAATATTACTCATATAGGTCTTTACGTCTTATCATCGTTATATGATAATATCAATTACGACATTTGAATGGTTTGATTCTCCATAGTTGATGAATGAAGATTGAATGCATTCGTCAAACCTCTAATATTTGTTCTTCAACTAGATGTGACATAACAATATGAATTTGCTAGAATGCTAGATGATAATTTCTAATGAATTTATATCAATATTATAGTGAATTACTCACTCTGACAATGACAAGTGTATAAAAAGAGACTATATAATTAACCCGCGTTAAACATCTAGTTGACAGCTCGATTTATTTTGTAATAACAGTGTAATATACATATAAAAACGCGGGAGACTAATGTTTACAACCAAATCAGTAACCAGCCATCTTGCAAAGAATTTGACAAAGGCCTTGAAAGGAGTTGAATTGAATTGGTTTATGATTACAATTTACAAATACTGTAGCTAGTAACCTTTCCTTCTCTGGTAAGTCTAAGTCAAAGTCAAACGAATTCTTATGTTTGGTACGTGCACATTATACAGTGTGTAGCAGTGTACTTAATACAACCATAAGTTCAGAAATTTTAAATCCATTGAACAGTAAGATATAGTCAATACTAGTTACCATTGACTAAATCGAGTTCTAAAATTTAGGAACATTTGGTCTTCCTTGATAATAACACACCTGTTACTATGTAGTACTTGCAGTGTTAGCAGGTAATGTAATACACTATGTTGATGATCGGATTTTTAAGAAAAAGTCTCTACTCAGGAGACCAACAAGGAATCCTGTCCCCTCCAATCCCCACAAATTCTATAAAAAGTTGGGGTTAATTTGCTTGCTTTGTTATCTCTAATTCTCTTTTGGTGCATTTGTACGCAAAATATATTGTATACAACATGTTTAGTCACCCCAAATTATATAAAAGTCAACTCCACAAATAATTGACTTTAATGTAATTTGAAAATACTGAACAAGTTATATACAATACGACAATACGCTCATTTAATACAAGGGTTAAATCTCTAGTTTCACCACTGGATTTATACATCTTCTAATCTTGGCTACTAGAGGTATGCTTTTCTCTCAATATGGTAATGTAGAGTTTTGTGCACCAAGTAAAACTCAACAGTTAATTATCATCTTATATCCCCCCTTCCCCACTCCAAAATTCTCCCCGCCACATATCCCTCCCTCCCAATCCCTCGTCACCACCACAACCCTGCCTTGTGAACCACCATCTCGCAGACTCACATCCACACCCCCTTCAAGCAACCCCCCCCCAAAAAAAAAAAAAAAAAAAAAAAAAGTAACCTCACAAAGGTCACACCCCCTCCACAATTTTAGCCAAGTTCTTCACGTTGTGAGCACTTGGCATCCTCACTGCTGCAACCATCACTCGACAATTTTTTTTTTAAAAGTAAATACAAGGGGATGGACAAAAGTTTTTTCTCCAACAAACCCATGGGGAAACAAATAAGACCTACATGGCCACTACATAGGTCTTATTCATATAACCATATGCCCCATAAGCTAGGGTGCTAGACGAACAAGTCCATGACCAAAGTGAAACACGTGGAATTTGTTCGTCCCCTCATGGGCTAATGAAAAAACATCCATCAAACTCTTTCCGAATATTTTCTTTTAAAAAAAAACACGTCGAAAACAGCAGGAACAGTGGGGATGTGGTGTAGGGGGAAGGGGTGGAAAGAGAGAAAGTGTTAGGGGGTCTAATCACTAATGGGGGTGATAGGGACATTGTGGAAAAAGAAATGACTGGTGTGTGATACTTGCAATTTACAAGGCAGTGAATAAACCAGGATTCCCCAGCTGAATCCTGACCAAAAGCCACAAAACTTAAAAAATTTTCAACCAGAAATTAAACTACCATGTTCTCAATCTTGTTGATTTGTTGGCACAGCAAGCTCTTTTCGATTTGAACTTCATCCAATCAATCTACATGTTAATAAAGCAAAACCATATTATTGGAAAATCTTATGTAACCAACTGTTGAGACAGTAAAATATTACTGAAAGAAATTAATTTAAAAGTAGCAACCTTTGCACAATTTTGGTGCAAATAACTTCAACTTAGCTTCTACATTCTGAAATATTCCTGCATTCCTACAATATGTAAACACAAATGAGAAGGAAAATTCGAAAAGTCCAAAGACTTGAACCGAAAACAAAGAGAGGAATCATTAGAAAAAGACTTGAAATTTAAGCATTTTAAATCTTCCTCTAAATAGTTATTGTTGGCTGCAGATAGGTTCTTCCCCCTCTCCTGTAAATGAAACAAACACATTAAGCTACACAAAAACATGGCAAATATTTAAGCGAGCATCAACTGATTAAAATCCTACCATAGAAATGAACCATCTACTTGGGGCTTGAACCTAAGTACCCCAATCTATCAGCTAGCACATTCACATCCTCCTGCTCTTCGCCCCCTTGATCACTAGAGGCAGCAGCCTTAAACCTTTCATTTAGTAACTCCTCCCAAAATTCCTCATCGAGTTCTTTATCATCGCCTTCAAATTGGTCCAAACCACCACGCTGTCCCTCCCCCAGCTCGGTCCCTCCCCTATTATAACCTTGCATCTCAAGGGCTAATGCCTCAAGCTCAGAAACTGGACCAAGAGGATCATATTGATCATACCCATAAGAACCAAAGTCTAATGGCTCAGCCTTAACATGTCCCATTCCTAAAGGTACACTACTACCACTTGTTACACTTGCATACCCACTTGACTCCCCACAGTGTAAATGACCCTTTTGCCCTTGATCAATAGGCCGCCTCCTTTTCTTGCTTAATGCTTCCTCAAGTTCTTTCCTTTTCTCCTTTTGTTGGACTAACTGTTGGAGAAATGCAGGGTTTTGCATTGCCCTAGCTAAAAAGTTCATCATTTGTTGTTGCTTCATCTCAGTAGCTTGTAATCTTTGTTCCATTGCTTGCAAGAATGATCTTGTGTTCTGTTGTTGTTGTCTAAGCTTCACTAATTCCATCATTAACACTTGTTTATCGCGTCGCAATCGATCCACTTCACCATCAACCCCAAATCTACCTAGCTCTACACAAGGGTCTATCACTCCCTGTTGAGAAAACATGGGATTAGATGAGTGTTTCCTTCTCCTTATGTTCTTCAGTTGATGCTTTTGCCCCTTTAAAAACCCTTCATTTGCAAATTCCCATCTATCAGGATCAATCTTCCTAAAACCCTGCAAATTTTTCAAACAATTTTGTGAGTACCAAGTTAATCAAATCACTAGAAATAAATAACCGTTTAAAGTAATCTGAGACGTATGGAGTATTAACCAAAATGTCCATATTAAACACCATTTCCATCAAGAGAAGTCGGCAGCAGTATAAAAAATCAAAATTATTAAATTACATCAAGCAAAGTTGCAAAATATTTTATTAAAATCTAAGGACCCACATCTAGAATTTTTGCAATTTCAAATTTAGTCATGAGATTAAATAAGATAATAGGACAAACTCAAAAAGAATCATTGGGTAGATTTCACATGATCAAGAAAGGAAAGTTGTATTAAAATATATTCAACCACATTACTAAAGTTAATTGACAAGTTGCCAACTCATTTCACTAAAATCCCATTAACATTTTCATTATTTTATTTTTAATTGCTAACAAATCCAATTCTAATTCTAGCACATCAAAATATAACACATGGATATCACAACAAATCAAGAAAGAGAAAGACAATGAGACAGGTGGCTTCTGTCAAGAGGTGAATTTTAATCAACTTGTCTTTACTAAGTATAATATTAATCAACTTCTGCTCCTTGCTAATTGTGTCATTGACTCCATAAAACTAGATATTTAATTAGATTATAATGTCTTATTCGGAAAAGAACGGTTATGATATATGCAATCCTTAACACGTAAGTGGCAACTTAAATGGTACAAGTAAAAAGGAATGAGATAAGAGTACTTACATAAGTATTAAGCTGCCTGACAAAGCTAGAGAAATTATTATGCTTGAAATTTCTAGGAAGTAAACCAGAAGCAAAAGCATGAGGATCCCAAACCACAAAGCTTTGACCTCCTCTGTTCCAAGACACTATACTATCAGTACTTGGATCATCAACTATTTCATATGTTTTCGTTAAAAATGGAGGTGGACCCACTTCATGTAATCCTTCTCTAGGCTGAGGTGCCGGAAAATTTCTTGAAATCTCACCGGAAAAGGTCAACGTCGTCGAGCTGGATTCTGGGAACTCTTTTTTAACTGGATATAAAAGATTCATAGTTGAAATGTTATAACAAAGGTTGAATTTTTCTGGGTATGCTTTACTTTTGGTGATTAGTCAAAGATAAAAAGCAATTTTTTTTCAAAGATTGAGTCACAATGTGACTCAAATTGAAGTGAAATTATTGAAATTGAAGCAAATCAGATGAAATTCAAATTTCCAATTCTTCAAATTGAAAGGGAATTAAGCAAAAAACCAAGATGAAATTTGATCAACTTTGTACAGAAAATATCAAAATCAATAACTTAAAAGGCAGGGAAAGAAGAGAGAGAAAGGTTACAAATTATACAAAAACAGAAGGAAGCTTTGATTGGTATATAAAAGAGGAGAAATTGAGAGAAAATTGAGGAAATTTGAAGAAAAAAGTTGTATGATTTTTGGAAGACAGTAAGACATGCTCTGTTTTAGCTCTGCTTGGAAAGAAGAAGGTAGGTTTTGGCAGTTATTGTTGATTTGTTGGGGGAGATAATGTGATTAATAAGGTTGAGGGGATATAAAAAGTGTGACATTTGGACCCTTAAATAGAAACTTATATAACCTATGATAATAATTAAAATATAATTTTGAGTAGAAAGTTCTAGAGTTTAGAAGGGATGGAGAAAGGAACCATCTAAAATGGCAAAGGCTTAATATTTTATTTGTGGATTTGGGTAGGTGTCCTCTTTTAATTTGTTAAATTTTTTATATTTTGGTTGATATATTGGGATGAGGAGCCTTGGAAAGTTCTGGAATTTATTCAGGAAGGGGAGCAAAAATAAAAATAAAATTTTTTTAAAAAAAACTTGTTTTGCTGAGTCATGCTGACCATGCTAATGTGGAGTGGGTTTGATTATCCAACAGAAAAAAATAAAATAAAAATAAAAATATGAGGAATAAAGAAATGTTATTTTGAGCACTTTGATTGGTGTAGATAGGAGAAAATGCCCCACCTGTTATTGGGGGTCATATAAAATAAGGTACTCACTACTGATCACAAGGTTCTAGGTTTTTTTAGAGTGATTATTTTTTATTTATTTTTTGAGTTTTGTTTTGGGTTACCCCCTAAAAAGGGAACTTTGAAAAGGAAAAAATTAATTAAGAAAAGGGTGGGAAGCAAGAAAAATAAAGGATGCAGTACTCCATATTAGAGAGACAGATATTAATGAAAGCTGATTTGCAGAATTGACATTGTTGAAGAATGGGAAGTTATGGGCAATTTCAGGATAGAATTGATTGTTTCTAGTCCATGATTTACTTTTTAGAGAAAAAAAAGCAAAAAAAGAAAAACAAAATGAAAAACAAAATATTTTTCTGCTGTGCCAAAAACAAAAATTCATTTCTAAAATGTTTCATCATTTTGATTAGACACAATTGTCAATTAGACTATTATTTTTTAATTACTGTTTTATAAACAAATAAAAAAAAATGCATTTTTATGGTCAGCCACATACGAAGTTTAAGAATATGTGTTTAACAATATATGCTTTGAGGTTTAATACAACAATAATTAATACTAATAGTATAAAATTTGTTTTCAATTAATAGTAAACAACTAAGCGTGTAAGTTAATGAAAAAAAAAATGATGCAATTATTTAGAAATGGACCACAATAATAAATAATGTATACACTATCTCATTTTACTTTACCCATTTCATCCAAAAAAATCTATTACAAAAGCTGGTCAAGAAAATAAAACCAATTTTACAAAGATGATCTCATCCGTTTAAGATTGATCTTTCTACTTTGACCACTTTTGTAAAAAAAAAAAAAATGTAAGATTGTAATGTAAACATTGTGATGACTACAAAAGCTATTGCAAAATTGTCAAATTATGAGCAATTTCAAGATTTTATTGATTGTTTCTCCACCTTAATTTTAATTACTAGCACCAAGCTACCAACCATTGTAAATAAGCAAGGACAATCGCTACTACTTATGGCACACAAATGCAAGTACTCCGTAGGCAACTCCCGAAAGCAATAGTCACATACTCACGTATAATAGGACGTCACATTTCTATAAGACGATAGCTACTACTAATGGCACACAAACGCAAGTATTCCGTACGCAACTCTCGAAAACAATAGTCACATACTCACGTATAATACAACGTCACATTTCTATAAAATCATAACTAGTCGAGCCATCTACCCAAATCATGTCATATCATTAATTGTGGGGTTAACCTTAAGCATCGGACTAAAATAAGGTTTAGTTCGCCTTATTTTTACTTATTTTCCGTAAAAATAATAATAATTCCACATAAAGCCAAAAATTGAGCAAAAGAAAACTACCCTTGAAGATTGTAAATGAGGCCATTGAGTTTTATCAGCTTCTCACTGCATCCTACGCTCCATTTTGCTTCTCATACTCCGCCCTTTCGCCGTCGAAATCCACCGTCGTTAATTATTGAATCACGAGTCCAAATTCAGGGAGAAGACGAAGAATTTGAGGGAAATGTATTGGAAATTGATGAACCATTTTGTTGAATTTCAGCGTTTGAAGAAGAAAATCGAATTTCTGTGTTGAGAAGAGCAAATAGAGTTTTGAGGGTTTGTTTTGGAGATTTTTGGAAGCAAATACAGTAACTGAAAAAAGGGAAGAAAAAAAAAATAATAATAATAAATCCTATTTTGCTGTCCATTGAAGGGTTAGCAAGGGTTTTGGTATGACATACCAAACGAAATTCCGAAAAATAAAACTAATACGGAATAGAAAAAGTGAAATTAGAACGCATGATTAGCATGAATAACCCGTATTGTAGTGGTGATAAAAAATCGGGTGGGTCCGAGTCTTAACATAATACATCGTGTCTAAATCTAAAAAAAAAAAAAAAGTAACGGTGTAGCCGGTGGGCAAATTTTAAGATGCACCACGCCTATAGTTTTGTACAATTAGTAAAAAAATCTGAACAATTGCAAATTTTGAACATGTAGTAAAAACAGAACATCGCAAATTTTGAACATTAAGTTAAAAAATCTGAACAATTACAATGCATCATGCCTATACTTTTGAACATTTAATTTAGTAAAAAAATCTGAACAATCGGGAATTTTGAACATTTAGTTAAAAAATCTGAACATCGCAAATTTTGAACATTTAGTATAAAAATCTGAACAATCGCAATGCACCACGTTTATAATTTTGAACTTTTAGTAAAAAAAATATGAACAATATTAAATTTTGAACATTTAGTAAAAAAAATCTGAACAACCGCAAATTTTGAATTATTATGAGTCAGACAAACTTTGAACTGACTAGTAATAATTAATTCAATAGTTTTGTAATATAAACTGAACATTTAATGTATACAAAATGAACATTTCTTGATAAAATATGAACATAAAAATTGCATGTTTATGCTCAATTTTTGTGACATGCTCATATTTTTTTTATTAAATGTTTATTTTTTGTAAAATGTTCAAATTTTTTTAACAAAATGTTCAAAAGTATAGTCGTGGTGCACCTATTTCTAGGTGCACCATGGTGCACATAATACTAATTGGTAGCCGGTGCTCAAACTCTGAAAAAAATGACGAGCTTGTTGGGCTTTTCAGGTTTGGATAAGGTTCAGGCTTTTAACTAAAAATGCATTTTAGGCTTGTCCAAACATGTCATATTTTCGGGTCGGGCTGATGTTGATCACCTCTACCATATTGAATATATTTCAAAGTCTTTTTTTTTTAATCGATATCAAGATCTCTTGAAATTGGAAAGGTAGCTCTAACTACTTGAGTTAATTCTCACTCTCAATGGTCCTCCTATTAGACTTTATAGTGTGTCAATGACTCAATATGATTTATTCAAGTAGTCACACGGCTAAAACCTCAAAGAATTTCTCAAAGAGCGTGGATATTAGCCTTCAATTTTGGAATTTTTTTACTTTTTTTCACACGGAAATAAAAATTTCCGAAATGTTTCCCAGGGCCCCTAATACCTTCCGGGAGTCCAATTGGCTTGGTGGAACCATCCAATTTGCCTTTAAACGACCAATTTACATGTTTACAACTTGCACCAATTTCATTAACTCAAGTCTATCACGAACATTTATGACAACATATAATGGTCATATATGGTTCCAAACGACATTATTTGACCCCGAGACGTATCCCCTAAAATTTCAATGTTTTTCGACACCGGGTCTCGAAACATTCAAAATTTCTCAAAAATCATGGATATTAGCCTTCAATTTTGAATTTTTTTTTTTTACTTTTTTTCGCCCGGATATAAATTAGCCGCAATGTTTACCATGGTCCCTAATACCCTCTAGGAGTCCAATTGGGTAGACGGAACCATCCAATCTGCCTTTAAACGACCAATTTATCGGTATACAACTTGCACCGATTTCATTAATTCAAGCCTACCTCGAACATTTATGACAACAAATAATGATCATATATGGATCCAAACGACATTATATGACCCCGAGATATATTCCCTAGAATTTCAAAACTTTTCGACACTGGGCCCCGAAACCTCTAAAATTTCTCAAAAAACAAGGATATTAGCCTTCAATATTGGAATTTTTTTTACTTTTCTTCATCCGAAAATAAAAATTACCGAAATATTTACCATGGTGCCTAATACCCTCCAAGAGTCCAATTGGGTGGGTGGAACCATTCTACTTGCCTTTAAACGACCAATTAACCGGTTTACAACTTGCACCGATTTAATTAACTCAAGCCTACTACGAACATTTATGAAACATATAATGATCATATATGGTTCCAAACGATATTATATGAACCTGATATGTATCCCCTAAAATCTTAATTCTTTTCGACACCGGGCCTCGAAACATTCGAAATTTCTCAAAAATCGTGGATATATTAGCCTTCAATTTTGGAATTTTTTGAATTTTTCTCGCCCGGATATAAAAATTGCCGAAATTTTTACCATGGTTCCTAATATTCTTCGGGAGTCCAATTGGGTGGGTGGAACCATCCAATTTACCTTTATACGACATATTTACCGATTTATAACTTGCATCGATTTCATTAACTCAAGCCTACCACAAACATTTATGACAACAAATAATGATCATATATGGTTACAAACAGTATTATATGACCCCGAGATTTATCCCCTAGAATTTCAAGACTTTAAGACACCAGGCCCTAAAGAATCAAAATTTTCTCAATAAGCGTGGATATTAGCCTTCAATTTTTGAATTTTTTGACATTTTTTCTCCCGGAAATAAAAATTACCAAAATGTTTACCATGGTCCCTAATATCCTTCGAGAGTCCAATAATTAGGTGGGTGTAATTATCCAATTTACCTTTATGCGGCATAATTACCGGTTTATAACTTGCACCGATTTAATTAACTCAAGGCTACCACGAACAGTTATGACAACAAAAAATAATCACATATGGTTCCAAAAGGCATTTTATGACCCCGAAATATCCCTTATAATTTCAAATTTCAAGACTTTTCGCCACCCGACCCCGAAACCTCCAAAATTTCTCAAAAAACGTGGATATTAGTCTTTAGTTTTGGAATTTTTTGACTTTTTTTCGTCCGAAAATAAAAATTGCCAAAATGTTTACCATGGTCCCTAATACTCTTCGGGAGTCCAATTGGGTGGGTGGAACCATCCAATTTTCCTTTGTACGACATATTTACCGGTTTATAACTTGCACCGATTTCGTTTACTCAAGCCTACCACGAACATTTATGACAACAAATAATGATCACATATGGTTTCAATCGGCATTTTATGACCCCGAGATGTATCCCCAAGAATTTCAAGAATTCTCGACATCGGGCCCTGAAATCTCCAAAATTTCTCAAATGCGTTGATATTAATTAGTCTTCAATTTTGGAATTTTTTGAATTTTTTTCGCCCGGAAATAAAAATTGCCGAAATTTTTACCATGGTCCCTAATACTCTTCGGGAATCGAATTGGGTGGGTGGATCCATCCAATTTACCTTTGTACGGCATATTTACTGGTTTATAACTTGCACTGGTTTCATTAACTCAAGCCTACCATGAACATTTATGACAACGAATAATGATCACATATGGTTCCAATCGACATTTTATGACCCCGAGATGTATCCCCAAGAATTTCAAGAATTCTCGACACCGGGCCCCGAAATCTCCAAAATTTCTCAAATGCATTGATATTAATTAGTCTTCAATTTTGGAATTTTTTGACTTTTTTCACCCGGAAATAAAGTTGCCGAAATGTTTATCATGGTCCCTAATACCCTCCGGGAGTCTAACTGGGTGGGTGGAACCATCCAATTTACCTTTGTATGGCATATTTACTGGTTTATAACTTGCATCGATTTCATTAACTCAAGCCTACCACAAACATTTATGACAACAAATAATGATCATATATCGTTCCAAACGGCATTATATGACCCCGAGATGTATCTTCTAAAATATCAAGACTCATCTACACCGGGCCGCGAAACCTCCAAAATTTCTCATAAAGCGTGCATATTACCTTTAATTTTGATTTTTTTTTGACTTTTTACGCACAGAAATAAAAATTGCCAAAATGTTTACCATGATCCCTAATATCTTCCAGGAGTCCAATTAGGTGGGTGGAACCATCCTATTTGCCTTTAAACGACCAATTTACCGGTTTAAAACTTGCACCGATTTCATTAATTCAAGCCTACTACGAACATTTATGACAACAAATAATGATCATATATGGTTTCAAACGACATTATATGACCCCGAGATGTATCCCATAGAATTTCAAGACTTTTCAACACCGGGCCCTGAAACCTCTAAATTTTTTCAAAAAGCGTGGATATTAGCCTTCCATTTTGGAATTTTTTGACTTTTTTCGCCCGAAAATTAAAATTGTTGAAATATTTACCATGGTCCCTAATACCCTCCGGGAGTCCAATTGGGTGTGTGGAAACATCCAATTTGCTTTTAAACGGCCAATTTACCAGTTTACAACTTACACCGATTTACTGGTTTATAACGACCAATTTAATTAACTTGCACCGAACCCGACTTGAACCGAAATTGACCGAAACCCGTTTTAACCTGTCAAAACCCGACTTTAACCCAACTTGTTACTAACCTGAGATGGATTCAACCCGACCCGTTCCCAACCCGACCCAAATTTAACCCAACATGTTACAAACCCGACCCAAAATCAACCCGACTTGTTATTAACTTGACCCAAATTCAACCCGACTTTTTATTGACCTGACCTGAATTTTACCAGACCTATTGCTTAGTCGACCCAAAAATTCAACCCGATCTGTTACTAACCCGACTCAAAATTAACACGACTTGTTACTGACTCGACCTAAATCCATTCCAAATTGTTCCTGAACCGATTTCAAATCACCTTAAATGCAATTTATACCACCTTATTATTTTTTATTAAAGCATTTTGTTTAGGGAGACCAAGTCGGTCCAGGCCAGCAAAAGAAAGGAGCATCATCCTCAAATTTAAGAGTTAAATATAGTATATATTTGTTGTATGGTCAAAGGAGATAATTATCTTCCTAAATTATAGACTATAGTTCCCTAGTATATTGTCATATATATTATAGTCAAAGGAAATAATTAGCTTGATAAAAATGATAATTATCTATTTATAGTTAGTTGAACCAAATATGACCTGACTTGGAAATGACCCGACCTGATTGTAACCTGCATATTATTGACTTGAGCATAACCTGACTTGGAAATGACCCAACCTGATTATAACTTGCAAATTATTTACTTGAACTGAATCGACTTGAACCCGACTTGAAAATGACCCGACCTGATTATAACCCGCAAATTATTGACTTGAACCGAACCCGAGAATTACCCTAACCCGTGAAAACCTAAATTAAACCTGACCTGTTGTTCACCCGACCCGAATATAACCCGACCTAAACCCGAAAAGAAGTATGACCCGACGTGACCCGACTCAAGCATGACCCAACCCAAACCCAAACCCATCCCTCATAGGTTATGGAATTAATCAAAATTGACTCGACCCGAGTAGACCCAACCCACTCTTACCCGACCCAAACCCGACCCGTTTATCCAAATGACAGCTCTAGTCACACCCTTAAAGCACATCTTCACAAGTCTTAAATTTGTCGCATTAAGGTCATAATATTATCAGTCTATTACGATATTCTACTTTAAGGACATGTTTTGATTAAAAGGAATGTATTATTAAGGTAATAAAAATTTATCTTAAGAAAAATAATTGTGAATATATAAGGGAAAATGAGAGAATGATGGTGTGATTAAATTATTGTTATAAAACTATACAATAATGACATTATGCTCAATTTGGATTTTAAATTGGGCTAATTCTAGTGTTTGGATGAGTTAGAATTTAAAATGTAAATTTAGTTCAAATTCTGAAACAATTAAGAAAACTTTATAATACTTAATTAGAATTTGAAATAATAATAAGTCAAACCATGTCATTTAAAATCCTAACCTAACCTAGAACCTTAAACAACTATTGTGTACTTCATAGCTCTTCTATTTAATGATAATTCCCTTCTTCAACTTATTTACTTTATCTCTCCTCTCTTAAACGTTTATCATCCTCCATTATTTCCTCCACCACCTTTTCCTTTATTGACGTCAGGTTAATGAAATCGTTGATCAATTTCGATCATAGCAGTGGGTTTGGGCTACAAAATCGCGTTTCTTGATATGATCGACTATTTTTGGGATAATATGTGAGTAAAATATTTGGAATTGATGATGATAAAGGTTATTGTTATGGCTATTGAAAAATTGCAAATTTTTGTACACTGATTATTAGTTAAAATTAATTATTTTTTTTAATTAAAATTTCAAAGTATTGCCAAACACCAGGGTTACTTGATATAGATTGTGTACACAGATTATTTTTCCCAAACAAGTAATTTGTAATTGAAATTCAGGATATCAATTTCCAGAACTGGAATGATATAGTAATTTAAAACGAAATTAGTATTTCCAAACATGCCTTATATTGTGAAAAGTAAAGAGAAAGGGAACTTTAATCCTCATGATCACAAGGACGGGAATGTCCTATGATCTCCTAAAATCAGAATGGAAGTTTTAACCGCTTGATCCATTCCCACTGTCATAACTATAAATACACTAAAATTTGATGTTTTTGGCGTAATTTTTCTGTGTGCTCAAACTCACAGAATTCACATTTGATATCTTCCACCTCGTCTTCCCCATCTCTATACAAAATCGAAATTCTAAAATTCTATCCATGGCAGAAAAACCCTAGATTATCGCGCCACAATTACATCAAAAAGCTTAATTTAACAATAATGGATAAAACCCTAGAAATCCATGTATTGGGGTTAAGCTTATTCTTGCTTGTAATCACTTGTTTATCAGCTGAATCATCGACATGTTTGACAGTATACAAGGAAGGAGGAGCTCCGGCTGTATTCAAATCCCCAAAATGCCCTAGCTGGAAGCTCTCCCATCACCAATTTCCGCCGGGAAGCTCCAAGTGCCATGTCGCCGCTTTTCAAGGTCGCCGGAGTTCGATGGAGGATCGTATTTTATGTGCCCTCGGTGTTCGAATTCCGTTTCCGGGTTCGTAAGATTTTGTTTTATTATCTGGAAGAATTAATTTTTAATTTTGTAGTGATTTCCTGATTTTGATGGGTATTAATTTTTATGTCTTATGTGATTATGTGATTATTGCTTGTGTTTTATGTGTTGGATCATGATGTTGGCTCATTTGAAATGGGGTAATAGAAAAATGGGAATTGAATAGTTGTATGGTAGTGAATATTTGAGATGAAGGAGTAGATTGTGGGCAATAGTGATGCTACCCAACCCCAGGATTAGATTGGTGTAATGTATACAATAAGACATTTAATAAAATCCTGACTGTTGAATAAAGGCAAGCTTTATAGGTATATGGATGCTCATAAGTATCATCCAGTGGGAGCAAAAAGCCTAACTTTTATATGAATATTGCTGATATTTCCCTTTAAATTTGATAGTTTTCTTTCAAGATTGCCAATTGAAGTAGTAAAAGTAGATATATAGCTGGGTGTCATGAGGTTCCTTTGCTGATGTGGACTTGCTTTGTGGTTGGCTCTTGGCTGGTTGTATGCATGAGCGTGTAGCGGAGATTTCTTCTGTGAATGTTTATTCTTTTGCTCCATGTCAATAGGAGAGTAATTAGTAATGACAGCATGATTCTAATTGGTCACGAACGTAAATTTTATCAACTGGACTTAAGCATCTCCTTAATTTCTAGAAGTTTGAACAAGATTTTAATGGGAACATGTTATATTCTGTGGACTATGCATCATGAGTCTATCTGTTCATAGAATGTGGGATGAAAACTTAGGCATTCTGGGTTAGCAGGTCACTTTTGTCTCACAATTGATGCTTATTGTGTTAATTGTACTATGAGTGGCCAAATTGGTAGATTGTTTGGTTTATTCATTGAGTGTTCTATTATTGACTACACCTTGCATGAGTGACAATACTTGTTTCTCCGTATGAGTTGAGGGTTAGCTTACCACAATGTTCTTATATATAAAAAAAAATTCAGGGTGGGTAGGGGGCTGTTAAATGTTCATTATAGCCTGTACAATCTTGTGCATGTTGCTGTATCGGTTTTGGTTCATTTATTGACTTACAAGTTATGTTGTAGGATATTTTTTGAATCTGTTATGTTGGGGTTTTAGTTGCTTAAGCTCTTGTCCAATTCAACTTTATCATTTAGTAGAGACCATTTTCAATCAGTAAATCAATTTAGTGGCTTGTGTTGGTGACTGATGTAGAGATGAGATGTTCAAATGGAATGAATGATAGGTTGGACCTGAGAGGGCGGAATTACTGAAGGACTTTAAACTTTAACATTGACACATTCACAGGATATGGGGATGATTTCCTTTCTCATTTTTCTATGCATTGTATACCTCCCTCCTCTCTCACTCTCTCTATACAATATACAAAGATAAGGATGCCTTGGTATTATTATGCAATCAAATTAACTGGGTGTGAAAGAGAAATCAGAGAAAGAAGACTGCAAAAAGAAGAATTTATTGGATGGAATCTTAACAACCATTTCTTTACATTATATCAAGTTATCAACATAAAAAGAGGAAGGGAGCACTTTTGTAATTTGGTGTGCTCAATCATATGCAGCGTTATCAAATAATCTGTCTGTCTGAAAACTGGTAGTATGTACTTTGAGCATTGGGAACTTTTTCAACTGTTAAATTAAGTAATTAGTGTACATGATTCATCGTAGTGCAGGTAAATTTCATTGTGTTTCGTTCTATTTGGATGGACTTGTTTAGGCCCATCTTTTACCCCTTGTCAAAAAAACAAAAACAAAACGATTCCTCCTAGGTTTTTTTATCCCTCTGCATAGATGACTGCTGGAGTTCAAGTTAGTTCAGAATTTTTGTGAGTACAGATTTATAATGAGTACCTTTGGATTTCTAATTTACATTAGTTTTAGAGCAGGTCCAAATGGATTTACAGAGGTGGATGTGAGCATTGTGGCAGTTTTTGATGGACATAATGGCTCTGAAGCTAGTGATATGGCTTCAAAACTTTTGTTGGAGTATCTTATTCTGCACACTTATTTTCTCCTTGATGCAACGTTTCCTTCCTTTTTAAAGAAATCAATGGGAAGATTGTCAAACAAGGAACTTGTGACATTTTCTTCTCAGTTCTTTAAGGATAGAGAATGGATGTTGCATTTTAATGATCAGCAAAGGTATTAAGTTGACATGTCCACAATCTTCTTTATTTATGTATTTATTGTTTTATATGTTCCCCACCATACATCTTTTAACTCTGTAATGTGTTCCGGGCTCTTTTTTGTTCATGATGAATGGCCAATTACCACATTTGACTTAATTTGAGGATAACATGTATGAGCACCGCCAATTTTCATGTACCTAAAAATCTAATACGTAGTATAGACAATACTGTGCTCTGATTCCTCTGAAGTTAGCTAGGAAGATACTGCATGCTATAGATTTTTAGGCCTTGTTCCTCCTTTGAGGTTCCCTGCACCTGGGTCAAGTTTTGAGAGATTTTTTTTATTCTCCCTTATGCTAGACCAGGTTTGTCGCTATTTGAAGTGTGACTTAAAAGATAAAGGATATTATGTTTCTTGATCTTTGAACTGGGGTACCACATAATTTTAGACCACTGTCTTCTATTAACAGCCGACTATAGTTATGTTCTCAACAAAAAAGGTTATATCAGGATTCAACAAATCTTTTTCTGCAAGTTGAACTTCCATGGAAACGGTTTTTGTAGATAGATTGTAGCCTTGTTGGTTCGCTAGCAATTGTAAGAAAATACTACCTCTGTTAAATTTTTAGTTGCAACAAAGGGGCATTATTTGTGAGACATAAATAAGTTCTTTTCTTGCAACTAAAAATTAACAGAGGTAGTATATTATTCCTACCAATGTATGAAAATGTTTGATTTAAAAATAAAAGATTTCTCCACGGATGTTGCAAGTTGTACTTGCCAAATTTCTTCCTTGATTAGCAATTTCTCATGTCACATGGAAAGTAGCTCTTGGGAAACTTGGAGTTCTTTGCACATTAGCAAAAAAAAAAAAAAAAGAGTGCAAATTTTTTTTCTTCCTTATATGAATTTACATGTATGCTTCTACTCAAACAACATTCCTCTAAACGAACAATTATAGTCCTTTTTATTTAATTATTTGCTTATTTTTTTAAAAAATTGTCTGTTTTATAACATTCTTTAAGATCAAACTGAAAATATAATAACCTTGGATGAACCATTAGAATGTTCAAAGAGTATTCCTTCATAAGAATAAAATATATAAAAAAAAAAGAAAAAAAAATCAGTTAAATGTTGAAAGAGTATGCTTTTCTAGTTAGTGATTGAAATGTACTCCATCTAAACTAAATTCTGAAATTAATAGTTGATAAAGAATAGAGAGGGTATCATCTTTTTCTCATTTGATTTGTTGGTAATCTTTTGACATATTGATATATGCAAATTGTGTTGCCTAGCTTTGATTTAGACAAATAGTAGCAAAAATCTATGCCTGTACAAAGAACATAGTTGTAGCTTGTAGGTTTAAATCTTGGCCGTGTAGGTATCATTGGTTATAAACTTATAAGGTTTATTTATTTATTTTATATAAAAAAAAGTAGAAAAGGAGGTGTTTGTGAGATTGTTAATGTTTGTAATGCTATATGATTTTAGGTTTATGTCTCAAGAAATTTTTGGAGAATCATTTCATTTGGAAATATTGAAGGAAGCATTGCTGAGAACAATCGCTGACATTGATACCACTTTTTCCAAGGCAAGTTTCAAAATATTTTTCTGTTGAGTTGCCTTTCTAGTGTTAGATTATGTTTATGGTTGACAATCATTGAATTGAGCTGTGAAGGAGGCCATCAGATTACAACTTGATTCGGGTTCTACAGCCACAATTGTTTTGATCGTAGATGGTCAGATATTGGTTGCAAATTTAGGAGACTCGAAGGCTTTTTTGTGCTCTGATCATTATCAGCCCCCTGCTGATGCTAAAGGTAACATTATCTTCCCTGAGAGCACCCTTTTTCTATGGAAATGTTCACAAAAGTGAGATAGAATTTACTATCTCGTTTAACCCATTGGTCTATGATTGTATATTACGTGCAAGGGGTAGTCGCCTTGCAGGCTATTATGTTTTGCATTGACCATGTGGTAAAGTTCTAGTTTGCTGGAATCATTGCAGCCACTGCTTTAAGGATATATAGGCAGAAACTACGTGATGGTACTGTACTGAGATTTAAGGATTGTGAAATCTGTAAAATGGTGGCTTCCAAAGGAGTGAAACTTTTGGTTGTGAAAGAATTGACTAGTGATCATCGGCCAGACAGGGATGATGAGAAGTCCCGAGTTGAAAATGCTGGTGGTTATGTTATTGAGTGGAGTGGAGTTCCTCGTATTAATGGGCGTCTTGCTGTGTCAAGGGCTATTGGTGATGTGCCTTTCAAAAGGTAATAAAGAAAACTGTGCTCTGTAGCACAATCCTGTCTCTTTAATGTACTCTGTGTGTGTATGTTTTTTTTTTTTTTTTTTTTTTTTTTTTTTTTTTTTTTGTGGGGGGGGGGGGGTGTTCACACTACTTCACTGTGACATTCAGAAATTTCTTGTGATCAGTTTCGGTTGAGTGTGTGTTTATTTTAAATATTCAATAATTAAAATGTTTATTTGGTCTGTGCGAGTGTGCATTTTTTAAATTTATTTTTAAACTTTTCTAAAATAACAGGATTGTGTATTTTATTTCATTGGTTGCAGGTATGGTGTTATAGCTGCTCCAGAGATTACAGATTGGCAACTCCTGAATGACAATGACAGCTATCTCATAGCTGCATCCGATGGTGTTTTTGAGGGGTTGGACTCAAAGGATGTTTGTGATCTTTTGTGGGAAGTGCAAAATGATGACCTATTAGGATCACAGGTTTCTCCTGCTTGTTCAGATTCTTTAGCTGACTGCATAATAAGCACAGCTTTTGAGCGAGGAAGTGCAGATAATATGGCTACTGCTGTTGTTCCATTAAGATTGATGAGTTTATCTAAAACCTCTCTAAATGGTAAGTATGCTATTTATTAAGGATTTTGAATTTAATCTTGAAAATGGTAGTGGTAGTGTGATAGAAAGAAGAATCCACGGAGATGGAAATCTATCTCCATCTCTGTTTAAATATGTCCGGCATTTAATGTAAAGCATAACTAGATAATTAACATGATTAAATGTTAATTGTTACTTTATTGAGAAGGTATGGCCAAGATATTAATTTATTGAGTTGGCTTCTCAATATCAAAATCATTACAGGTCCTCTTGTAGATTTTTTTCAGCCTTGTTGTGATTGGAAATAACTTGGTTGAAATGTTTGGGCTTACATTTCTTGGTTCTGGAACTTTCATTTAAGTTTAATCTGTAGCAGTTTATTTTATTTATTAACTTTTAAATATAGGTTTTGCATGGTTACATTTATTGTCCATTGTGCTGCGCTTTCTTTGGTCAACATTTTTATTGATCCATAATCCATTTGTTGCATTGATTATCTTTACCATGCATTGTCTCATCAGTCTTGTTCTTCTTTGCTTATTCTTCTTTGCTTTTGTCAATGTTTTAGCTGCAGAAATTCCCATCAGTCTTGTTCAACTGAAACATGCTTACCCTATTGTGGCAAAGTTTGACAGGTTATTGGTAAGTAAAAGCCAAATTTGTCTTGAACAAAGTAGTAGGGGGTTCTAAGGGAATTTGTTCGGCATTTATTTAATTATCCTAAAAGGAATGCATAAATTTTCTTCGACTCATGGGGGCTTATGCTGACTTTGTATATCACTTTGCTGTTGTGAGTTCTGCTTTTTCTAATTTTCCTTTCTCATTCTGGTCATAATTTCCCTTCTAAACTCTTGCTAACTACACTTGAACTGATGTCCTTGTCGGGTCCTTTCGAAAAAACTTGAATTAGTACAATTGACTATGCTCATAAATCCCTTTGATTACTGCACTTTTGTTGCTTTGTTTTCTTTTGTATGTTGTGCGTTAGTGCCATGATTGTATGTATAACCTCTTTGATCATCTTACCATTTATATCTCAAGATGTAGGGATGGCAGCAAAGATTTTTCATTTGGTCCTGAGATGTAAATGGTAAGATGAACCTACCTCTTTTTTTACTATGACTTTGACTAGGAGAAAACTTAATGCCATAGCCTGTTTGCATTAATGTTCTAGGTACCAAGTAATCCTTTTAATTCTACCGTTCCTCAGAAAGATAAAAGCATATTTGGCTATGTGCTTTAAAGTATTTGTTTTAATTTTTTTTTTTCGAAGCCCGTGATTTATGTCATTAAATTAATAGAGGCCATTAAATTTTTTAGTATTAAGCTATGCTGGGTTCCCATTTGACCATGTCTATGGGCCAAAATTTTCTTGTAAAGTTTTGACAGTCATTTTTGCTTCAGGTGGAAAGCAAGCAAGGTAATTTTGGCTGTTACTATTTGTATGAGAACCTTAAGGAATATGAGGAGGATACTTTTAGTCATCCAGAGGATGAAATATATGAAGATCTTTATGACATCCCTCATGCTCTCCCTGGGCGCCTTGATCATACCTGTGGTGAGTGGAGCTGTCCCCTGGTTTTGAGTTTGTATAATATATATCGTTTTATTGAACAAAATGTGCTCTCTTTCCTCCCAATATTTTTTTCTTTAATCATTATTAAGTTAGGAGGGAAAAATGGTGATTGGCGTGGAAAGTTCATCCTTTTTACATTCTATCAAGTAGTTATTATTTTCAGCTACGGATTGTAGTGTCTTTTTCAAGTTTTACAGTGTGACAGTATGCGAAGTATGACTATTAGATTGTTTACCTTTGGAATTAGGAGAATCTGCAAAGTTAAATGTGGAGAACGACTTTTGCTTTCACTCTGAGATGATCTCTGATGGTAGTAATGATGATAGCCGATATCCTGAAGATCTTTCCAGTTTCCTTTCCCTGCTTGAATCAATCCCTTTTCAGCATGCTGAATCTAGTTTTGGATCATTTGAGGAAGCTAAACCTGAAATGAGGTATAAACTCTTTTTTCTTTGCCACAACTCTTTGCATAGTATTTAGGAATCTATGTATCTTTTGATTTTCGAGCTCTGTTTTAAATTTTCCTTTAAGCTTAAAGATAGAGATGTCAAAAGTTGACCCTACCCGAAATACCAACTCAAACCCGATTATTAATTGACCTATTTGAACCCGAAAAAATGGTGACCCAAACCCGACCTGACCCGACCCGAAACCAACCCTAGACCCGAGTTGACCCGAGTATGTGAGACCCGAACCCGAACATATACTCACCTGGAGGACCCGAATGTAATCCGTAAATTATTGACCTGAACTGAACCCGACTTGAACCGAAATTGACCTAAACCCGTTTTAACCCGTCAAAACCCGATTTTAACCCGACCCGTTCCTAACCGTACCCGAATTTAACCCAACCTGTTACAAACCCGATCCGAAATCAACCCGACTTGTTATTGACCTGACCCTAATTCAACCCGACTTGTTACCCGAATTTTACCACACGTATTACTAACCCGACCCAAAAATTTAACGCGATCTATTACTGACCTGACTCGAAATCAACACGACTTGTTATTGACTCGACCTAAATTCAACCCAAATTATTCCTGACCCGATTTCAAATCACCTTAAATGCAATTTAGACCAACTTATTATTGTTGATCAAAGCATTTTGTCTAGGGAGACCAAGTCAGTCCAGGCAGCAAAAGAAAAGAGCATCATCCTCAAATTTAAGAGTTAAATATAGTATTACCTCCGTTTCTTTTTAGTTGACACGTTTTGACTTTAGCACTATTCATCCACCTTCATTTGACCATATTTTGTGCTTTGTATGTAATGAAAAATATAGTCATGTGGGATCTTGTTAGATTTATCACGTAATATACTTTCAAAATATCAACTTTTCAAAATTTTTGCTTATCGATAATTAAAGATATTAATGAATTGAATAAGTGCATTGGCAAACGTGACTAAAGAAACGTGTCAACTAAAAAGAAACGGAAGAAGTATATATTTGTTGTATGGTCAAAAAACAAGCTAGCCATACTTTTCAAGCTAGCATAGCTAGCGAGACTAAATGCTTTCGAAATTGCCTCAAATAGCCAAGGTCGGTATAGAGCTTGCCAGCAAGCAAGCGAACAAGGAGATAATTATCTTCCTAAATTATAAACTATAGTTCCCTAGTATATTGCCATATATATTATAGTCAAAGGAAATAATTAGCATGATAAAAATGATAATTATCTATATATAGTTAGTTGAATCCGAATATGACCTGACTTGGAAATGACCCGACCTGATTGTAACCTACAAATTATTGACTTGAACATAACCCGACTTGATTTCGAGAATGACTCGACTTGAAAATGACCCAACCTGATTATAACCCGAAAATTATTGACTTGAACCAACCCAACTTGAACCCGAGAATAACACGACTTGAAAATGACCCAACCTGATTATAGCCTGCAAATTATTGACTTGAACCGAACCCGACTCAAACCCGAAAATGACCCGACTTGATTCTAACCTGCAAATTATTGACTTGAACCAAACCCGACTTGAACCCCAGAATTACCCTAACCCATTTTAACCCCTGAAAACCCGAATTAAACCCGACCTATTGTTCACCCGACCCGAATGTAACCCGACATGTAATTAACTCGACCTAAACTCGACTCAAACCCGATAAGAAGTATGACCCGAATCAAGAATGACTCAACCCAAACCCGACCCGCATAGGTTATGGAATTAATCTGAATTGACCCGACCCGACCCAAGTTGACCTGACCCACTCTTACCGACCCAAACCCGACCCGTTTAGCCAAATTGACAGCTCTATCTGAAACCTCAAAAATTTCTCAAAAAGCGTGGATAATAGCCTTCAATTTTGGAATTTTTTGACTTTTTTCACTCGGAAATAAAAATTACCGAAATGTTTACGATGATCCCTAATACGCTCCGGGAGTCCAATTGGATAAATGGAACAATCCAATAAGCCTTTAAACGACCATTTTACTGGTTTACAACTTGCACCGATTTCATTAACTAAAGCTTACCACGAACATTTATGACAACATATAATAATAAAAAATAGATCCAAACAACATTATATGACCCCAAGATGTATCCCCTAAGATCTCAATGCTTTTCGACACCAGGCCCCCCCGAAACATTCGAAATTTCTCAAAAAAGCGTGGATATTAGCCTTCAATTTTGGAATTTTTTGACTTTTTTTTCGCCCGGATATAAAATTTGCCGAAATGTTTACCATGGTCCCAATTATCCTTCGGGGGTCCAATTGGGAGGGTGGAACCACCCAATTTGCCTTTAAACGTCCAATTTACCGGGTTACAACTTACACCGAATTAATTAATTCAAGCCTACCACGAACATTTATGACAACAAATAATGATCATATATGGTTCCAAACGACATTATATGACCCTGATATGTATCCCCTAAAATTTCAAGACTTTTTGACACAGGGCCCCGAAAACTCCAAAAATTCTCAAATTTGAATTTTTTTGACTTTTTTCACCCGTAAATAAAATTTACCGAAATGTTTACATGGTCTCTAATATCCTTCGGGAGTCTAATTGGGTGGGTGGAACCATCCAATTTACCTTTAAACGAGCAATTTATCGGTTTACGAGTTGCGCCGATTTCATTTACTCAAGCCTACCCCACCAACGTTTATGACAACATATAATGATCATATATGGTTCCAAACGACATTATGACCCCGAGATGTATCCCCTACAATCTAAAGGTTTTTCGACACCGGGCCTCAAAACCTCCAAAATTTCTCAAAAGCGTGGATATTAGCCTTCAAATTTTGAGTTTCTTTTTTTACTTTTCTTCGCTCGGAAATAAAAATTTCCGAAATGTTTATTATGGTACCTAATATCCTTAGGCAGTCCAATTGGGTGGGTGGAACCATCCTATTTGCCTTTAAACCGCCAATTTACCGGTTTACAACTTATACCGATTAAATTAACTCAAGCCTACTACAAACATTTATGACAACATATAATGATCATATATAGTTCCAAACGACATTACATGACCCCGAGATGTATTCCCTTAAATCTCAAAACTTTTCGACACCGTGCCTCGAAGCATCCCAAATTTCTCAAAAAGGGTGGATTTGAATTTTGGAATTTTTGACTTTTTTTTGCCCAGAAATAAAAATTACCGAAATGTTTACCATGGTCCCTAATACCCTTCGGGAGTCCTATTAGGTGGGTGGAAGCAACCAATTTGCTTTGAAACGACCAATTTACCGGTTTACAACTTGCACCGATTTCATGAATTCAAGACTAACACGGACATTTATGGCAACATATAATGATAATTTATGGTTCCAAACGGCATAATATGACCACGAGATGTATCACCTAAAATCTCATTTTTTTTCGACACCAGCCCCAAAAATTCTCAAAAAGCATGGATTAGCCTTCAATTTTGGAATTTTTTTAATTTTTTTCGCCCGGAAATAAAAAAAAAATGGCGAAATGTTTACCATGATCCCTAATACCCATTAGGATACCAATTGGGTGGGTGGAACCATCCTATTTGCCTTTTGCACCAATTTAATTAACTCAAGCCTACTACGGACATTTATGACAATATATAATAATCATAAATGGTTCCAAATGGCTTTATATGACCCAGAGATGTATCCCCTAAAATCTCAAAAAATTTCGACAACGGGCCTCGAAACATCCCAAATTTCTCAAAAAGCTTGGATTTCAATTTTGGAATTTTTTACTTTTTTTTTTCTTGAAAATAAAAATTGTCGAAATATTTACCATGATCCCTAATTCTCGTTGGGATTCCAATTGGGTGTGTGGAACCATCCAATTTGCCTTTAAATGACCGATTTACCGGCATACAACGTGCACCAATTTCATTAACTCAAGCCTACCACGAACATTTATAACAACAAATAATGATCATATATGGTTTCAAACGGCATTATATGACCTCGAGATATATCACCTAAAATTTCAAGACTTTTCGACTCCAGGTCTCGAATCCTCCAAAATTTATCAAAAAGTGTGGATATTAGCCTTGAATTTTGGAATTTTTTTATTTTCTTTTTTTGCCCGAAAAAAAAATTGTCGAAATGGAACCATCCAATTTGCCTTTAAACGGCGAATTTACCGATTTACAACTTGCACTAATTTCATTAATTCAAGCCTACCACGAACATTTATGACAACATATAATGATCATAAATGGTTCCAAACTACATTATATGACCCAGAGATGTATCACCTAAAATTTCAAGGCTTTTCAACACCGGGCCTCGAAACCTCCAAAGTTTGTCAAAAAGCTTGGATATTAGTCTTCAATTTTGGAATTTTTTGACTTTTTTCGCTCGAAAATAAAAATTGCCTAAATATTTACCACCGTCCCTAATACCCTCCGGGAGTCCAATTGGGTGGGTGGAACCATCCAATTTGCCTTTAAATAGCTTATTTACCGGTTTTAAACTTGCACCGATTTCATTAACTCAAGCCTACCACTAGACCTGGTTATTGGGCGGGTCGGGTCAGGGTCGGTTGTGGGTCAGGGTCAAAGAGGGTCACATTTTATAGGGTCAATATAGAATCGGGCCAATGCGGGTTGCGAGTCGATAATGGGCGGGCCTTCAAAATATCAATTAAAATAAATATTGGATAAAGCCATTATTAAATACGTATGAATACAAATTAATCTATATAATTATTTTTACATTATGTATTTTCTTTATGAACTAAATTGGAAAAACATGTTGGCCCTATATTGACCCTACCCAATAAGGGCCCTGTCCATTAATAGCCTTGTCCATTAAAAGCCCCATAAGCTTGGCCCTGACCCTATTATCATTGTGCTACCCTGTCCAATAACCACCTCTACCTACCACTAACATCTATGACAACATATAATGATCATATATGGTTCTAAACGTTATTATATGACCATCCAATTTACCTTTAAACGGCCAATT